AAGGAGGGCTAAGGAGAGCTAAGGATGTCTAAGGAGGGCTAAGGAGGTCTAAGGTGGGCTAAGGAGGGCTAAGGAGGCCAAAGGAGGGCTAAGGATGTCTAAGGAGGGCTAAGGATGGCTAAGGAGGTCTAAGGTGGGCTAAGGAGGGCTAAGGAGGGCTAAGGAGGGCTAAGGTGGTGTAAGGAGGCCAAAGGAGGGCTAAGGATGTCTAAGGAGGGCTAAGGTGGGCTAAGGAGGCCAAAGGAGGGCTAAGGAGGCCTAAGGAGGCCTAAGGAGGGCTAAGGAGAGCTAAGGATGTCTAAGGAGGGCTAAGGAGGGCTAAGGAGGTCTAAGGTGGGCTAAGGAGGGCTAAGGAGGCCTAAGAAGAGCTAAGGAGGGCTAAGGAGGCCTAAGGAGGTCTAAGGAGGGCTAAGGAGGGCTAAGGAGTGCTAAGGTGGTGTAAGGAGGCCAAAGGAGGGCTAAGGAGGGCTAAGGATGTCTAAGGAGGGCTAAGGATGGCTAAGGAGGTCTAAGGTGGGCTAAGGAGGGCTAAGGAGGCCTAAGGAGGGCTAAGGAGGGCTAAGGAGTGCTAAGGTGTGCTAAGGTGGTGTAAGGAGGCCAAAGGAGGGCTAAGGATGTCTAAGGAGGGCTAAGGATGTCTAAGGAGGGCTAAGGATGGCTAAGGAGGTCTAAGGTGGGCTAAGGAGGGCTAAGGAGGCCTAAGGAGGGCTAAGGAGGGCTAAGGAGTGCTAAGGTGTGCTAAGGTGGTGTAAGGAGGCCAAAGGAGGGCTAAGGATGTCTAAGGAGGGCTAAGGATGTCTAAGGAGGGCTAAGGATGGCTAAGGAGGTCTAAGGTGGGCTAAGGAGGGCTAAGGAGGCCTAAGGAGGGCTAAGGAGGGCTAAGGAGTGCTAAGGAGTGCTAAGGTGGTGTAAGGAGGCCAAAGGAGGGCTAAGGAGGGCTAAGGATGTCTAAGGATGGCTAAGGAGGTCTAAGGTGGGCTAAGGAGGGCTAAGGAGGCCTAAGGAGGGCTAAGGAGGGCTAAGGTGGTGTAAGGAGGCCAAAGGAGGGCTAAGGATGTCTAAGGAGGGCTAAGGATGGCTGAGGGAGACTGAGGAGGACTAAGGTATGTGATACACTATAATATGTGATACATTATAATAGGGGTCACATAAAGTAACTACCGAAGTAAATGGTAAATACCACTGCCCAGGGTGCAAAGTGAGCCCGCTACCCAAATCTATCGTTTTAAAACCTTTTGACTTTTGAGGTCTGCCTAAAAGAAAAAAGCAGCGAAAACAAGTGACAGAAGATCCAAAATCATCCTAGATTCGCTTAAGATGAATGCTGTGGCCATGGTTGACGGTTGACTGTTTATTTCACAATTTCCTCCGTGGTGGCGAGCTCATCATTATCAGGCGCGAAAAATACTTATCAGGCCCGAGAATATCATTATCAGGCGCGAAAATGCAGCGAGCGTCTTGCCCTTGAATTGAAGTTTAATAGATAGGGAGCACATTTGGGAGCTAGGGTGTGTCAAGTATACACGTACATAAATAATCGCACCGCGCCATTGCTATCTCCACTTGCGTGCGTATGCGCACGTAAAGTTAATATTTTCTAAGACTGAGTTTTTCTATGCCAGCAAAAACATCTCCATCAAATATTTTTTTGGTTTTATAAGTATCATTCATTTAAACCTTTTACGTGGCACGTGTGCGTATAGTAAAAAAAACGGGAAAGTGCTAGTGGATTGAGTGAAAATCCGCCCTTTTTCGTCGTGTTTACATCGTCTTTGACGCTGCCATCCTATATCTGCTTAATAGCCGTGCAGGATAACAGAACAATTCTCAATTCCTGGCTACATCAGGCCTACCAAATGCTTTCCGTGCAGCATAGCGTGATCCGCTATGCACGGGAAACGTGGCGCCGGATTTGCTGTCGGCGTCTTGGCGAATGAAATGTATTCTGACCCTTCTAAAAACTCGAGCAGCATCTCAAGGGCATAGATCATGCAATCTCGCACGGGATACGTTTTTTAAGAAATTTACCAGAGTGAAACAACGGACCTTTTTAAAATTCCGCGCGTGAAGTAGATTTATCACCCTCAAGGCCTAAATCCATATTCTTATTTCTACTTTTTAGTTCCAAGCCGAATATTCTCTAATTTAATTGGTTTGATCAAGTCGAAAGCATCGCATAATGATAGGTTCCCAAAACGTCGCTTTTTGGAAAAGGCGATCGGATTATATCATATAGATATATATATCGTAATTAAAAAAAATTGTATGTTTGTATATATGTATGTCTCTTTGGTGACGGTAACTTTACCTACTATACCGACTAATCCAGCCTAGCCGCTAATTCTGTAGAAAAGTCAGAGAAATACATAGAGAAAAGCGCACTTTCCATAATTTATAATTAGCTAAACTTAAATTCTCCTCTCCCACAAAGCAAAGTTTTATTCAAATTTCACATCTGCATGAAATCCCTCCTACTAGTAATTGGTTAATCCCTAGCAGGAGGTATCAAGTTTCACAATGTAATAAATCAAGATGATGAAAGAGAACCTTCACGACATCACAGCAACAAAGGGTATATAATATGTGGCGCAGAACTTTTGAGATTCACTTAATTAAGGATTTATACAAATATGATCGCTAATTCTGTTTCATCGCCACCAGAACAATCAACAGACCACTCTACCATGTACTCTACTACACAAACACGCATACGAGTTATTGAACAGACAAATGGACAGATAATTCAGCCTGTAGACGTTGGTACAACATCAAATGAAATATCAAATGAGGTAAAAGATAAAACAGAAATATTTAACATCAAGTTTGAGAACAAAATGAATAATAGTGTAATGGCTGATGCAACAAAATTTGATCAGTGTGAGCATTGTGTGAGCGATTGTGAGACAGACCAAAATATAAACACTGTCATCACGGAGACAGATGAGACTGGTATGGCCTGTGTGGGCGCTTTAGACAATAGTGGTAACTTTTTAGAAGATTGCTCGCCACAAAAACGTCGAGAGAAAAGACAGAAAAGAAAAAAACGAAAATCTCTGATGGAAATCTTATTTGTGTGACACGCAGCGTTGCTTGGGATATTTCAATTTTCAAGAGAGACCGAGAGACCACAGAATAGTACCCCCCGGAAAACCATCAGATTTTTTGCCTTCAATATACCCAAGGAATTTCTTCATTAGATATTGACGCACATTTCACCTATCATTTTAATAATTTAATAGGATCGGATGTTGAACAACTAAGAACTAACCATGAGAGCATTGTTGGCAAAATGACAATGTTTTTTTATGGATGTACAAAAAATAATGGAATATAACTTTCGATTTCTCATTTTTAGGTCAATTTTTTTATAAAAGTTATGACAATCATTGTATGGTTTAAAAGTATTCATTTTGAAAAGTTTTTTAATAGTTTAAGGGTCCATAGAGTTTGTCGAGCCAGACAGACGAAATTATAGAGTTGATATGCCAGCTTTTGGTTTCTACGTCCATGTGATAAAAGACTACCAGGCATCAGAGTAACATTTGACAAAGACTGATATTTATTCAGATATTGGTTCGGTTAATCAACTACTATACAAGACTGATATTTTACTGATATTGATACAGTGATACTGGCTATCTTTAATAATAACCACAGTTACCATACTTTATCTTTACTTCATTTTGGGCATTTCTTGGGTATTGATTTCATTTATTGATGTATCGCTGGTTTGTGATCTTTGTCAACAGCTGAAGAAAGGACTATTTTTCCGAGACATTGAACCAAAGGATATGGGGTTCCGAGCATTAACCTTATCAACTATTAACTATTTTAAAGCTAGATAATAGTGTACTATTGTATTGAAGACTGGTTTTTGACCTGCGCGTACGCGAAAATTTTTTTTACTATCTTTCGAAACTGATTTAACATTATGTCAACCAACTGTATTAAAGTCAGCCGCCAATAGCCGCAATCTATAGCCACCCTGGCTCGCGATTAAAAAACTTGAATTTTACTAAACTATAATGTAAAGGCTGTAAATTCGTTACGCTGAAATAATTTGAAAGCGGAATCCTTGAAGGAAGCTATATACGCTAGCTTTTGCCATTCTCTGATTGGCTGGAGATGCTCACAATGAAACGAAATTTGAGTTCAGTTTATGGACATGTACAGTCCAATTATACACTCCACTGTTTGTTTTAAAGCAATGATTGCATTTTCTACTGTAAATATTTTGTTTGTATAATGAAAACTCCATTATCCTTAATTATGTTGTAAATCCAGTAATAGGATATTAAAATCGTGTCTATACACCAGCGTATAACTATAAGTCATAAATCAACTCAGTTCGATACTAATATCTGATTTGCAAATGCGAATGGAGAGGAACTGTATTACTTTTTATTAGGATTAGAAAATCTGAAAATTCAATTGAATTGAATATCGAATTGAATATGGAGAAACGTCATCGAGGGTCTCACCGATCGTGTGCTGGATAGTTTCAGAAAAAAAGATCACAGATACACGATAATATCAGTCTATCAGACTTTGCATATATGCACGGTAGATCATGGAAATCTGAAACACCATAACCATGTATAAATGTTCGAAGCCTTTGCATATGATTTTGAGTATTACACGTGTACACGGAAATTCAAAATATTTAGCTATTCCTATAAGGCTTTATTCTGTCTATCACACATCTGCTTGTACATATAAAACAGTCAAAAATATGTCAAGTTAAATTCTAAATAATCCCATATAAATTGTCTTAAACAAAAGAATGCTTTTTATATGGCAATACGTAATACGTTTCAAGTAAACAAATAGTTTCAAGCATTGACAATGGATTAAGTTAGATTACCAAAACCTGACCCCTACTACGAAAAGAATAGAATGGATTCCAAGCATAACGCTTTATCATTATCCTTTATTTAATAACCTCAAGCGAATTTGATTCCAAGTGTGAAGGAATGTTTCGTTTATTTATTTATGGTATGTTTAATTCCTTCTCAAATTGGCTGCAATATTTTCACTATTCTTAAAATTATTTTCATCAATCAATGGACGGGAACTTGGAGATGTCTGTTGGTTCAGTCACGGGCTCATTTCAAAGAGTCACCACTGAGGCACTGACCATTACTTTACTCTTTAGCCTAAATCTTCTTGTTTCTAATATCTGCGTTTGGCAAAATGATCCAAACATATCTCAATCGGGCTTGCTAATGAACGAATTGAGGTCGTTTTTCTCGTAATTTGCCAAATTTTGAATTCATGCCAATGATGCCATGAATGAGTGAGTCATTCCGTTTGTGAGTCACAAAAATATCGTTGTTTATAAATCGCGTGGTGTTTGTTTGTATACTCGGTTTTCGTCATTCATCGTTAATAAAACACAGACAGACACAATAACCGTACAATTAAGTGATGATTTGCAGGATTTTTCATTTATGTTCACAGTTCAGTTCACTGGCTGCTGCCACTAGCTCATGCAGTGAAAACTGCTAAAAAACGCTCACGTTGTTCCAACTAAAGAATGTTGTGCTGCACCTCATAAGTCATAACGGCCATAATTATGAAAAACATTGTCTTTTTATTTCACACGAATGACGATGTACGATTGCATTTTTCACTATAAACTATGTATTCCGCAATGTTCCTGGAATTTTTTATAATACTGAACAAGATCTGAAGATATTCTTGGTTTGACGGTTTGCAAAGCTTGAAGGAAATGTTCATGTTTAACATTCATTGCATTAATGTCATCTTGCAGAGCAGCTAATGCCGCCTCACGACATATCGCTGTTATTTCAGCCCCAGAATACCCCTCCGTCTGAGCAATAATGTCATCGATATTCACCGCTGGATCGAGTGGTGTATCTCGTAAATGAATATTAAATATCTCCTTTCTTGTTTCGTGATCTGGTAACGGGATATATATAATACGATCAATGCGACCTGGTCGCATTAAAGCTTTATCAATGACATCAGGTCTGTTTGTAGCTGCAACTAACGTTACATCATTCAGCGTTTCGACACCATCAAGTTCTGTTAGAAGTTGTGTTAAAACACGTTCAGATACATTAGATACATCAGCATCACCGCCTCCACGTTGGCTTGCTACGGCATCAATCTCGTCAAAAAACACAACACACGGAGCGGCTGTGCGTGCTTTATGAAACACCTGAAAAATATTGAATTTTATTAGAAATGTTTTTCTACGATGGTGTACCGATTTAGTTAACACCTAATCTCTTAGGCTTAGGCTTGAAGGAGGATGATTTTATTTAATTATATAGTAAATGCACCCAAATATTCTCCTGCTAAGAATTAATTTCATTAATATGCTGCATAATATACCTGTCGTATTGCCTTCTCTGATTCTCCAACCCACTTACTAAATATCTCGGGACCTTTCACCGCAATAAAATTTAATCCACTTTCGGTTGCTAATGCTTTAGCAATAAGAGTCTTACTGCAGCCTGGTGGGCCATACATGAGAATACCTTTCGGCGGATCGATATTCATACGAGTGAATGCCTAGGAGAAGACGATCAGGTATATAAAATCAGTCTTAGAAGACAAGTGATGAAAATTATCTCTAGCTGTTGTAATGCACACACCTCGGGATGTTTGAGGGGCCATTCGATTGCTTGTTTCAACTTCTGTTTTACTGTTGCGTTCCCTCCGATGTCATTCCAATACACCTAAACATGCAAAGTAATAAACATTTTGTTTTCGGCAAATGACAGTCCGTGAAAGATAAGCCACAGCATGGAAGAGACTACACTCGACATGCAAGGACGTTAGATTTAGTTGCATGGGTATTGATAATCTTGAGTGCTGGTAAACTCACATTTCAGGATTTACCTTAGGCACATCAATAGCAACTTCTCTCAAACCACTAGGTCGCACATGTTGGAAGGCTTCTTTGCAGTCATCAATTAAAATGACAAACTGTTTGTTTTGTTCAGACTCGTCATAACTCCTTGGTAGAGAGACATCCGGAAGATTTCTTTTCAATGCAAGAATGCTTGCTTCCTTGACAACCGCCATAAGATCCGCTCCAACATACCCATGTGCGTTATCAGCGAACCTGAAGATAAAGAAGAGTAATTCTTCCAAACATAACAGCTTGAGTTGTCGGGATGCATGAGTAAAAAGCCGAATACGTTTCTTTCAATGGTGGCCATCATCATCCAAGCAAAGCTCTAATGTATTCACTCACATTATAATTTCATCATTTGACAAACAATGTGGTATTTTCTTCAACAGTTTGGAAAGAATGTCGGCTCTTTCACTTGCTTTTGGGATCCCAAATTCTATTTCTTTCTCAAATCTTCCAGGACGACGCAAAGCAGAGTCTAGGGAATCCGGACGATTGCTCGCAGCCAAAACAAATACACTTGACGCTGATGGCTACATATGCAATCAATATAAAAACATCAAAAATGAAATAATTAATTAAGACGCTATCCTCAGTTAACATTTCGGTGACGAAAATAATTTCGAAAACAATAATTTGGGACTGTTATATATATCAAGACGTAATACCTTTGTCGGCCTATTTTTACAAAAGTATCTCTTAGGTCATAAAGGCACGGGAGTGTGAAATAACCAGGCGTGGGACTGGTCCTACATGAAGCCACTACCAATCATGAAAGGAAATATGAATTGTATATTATACCATAACCACAACTAAAACTCACTTTAGTTAAGCCATCCATCAAAGTAAGTAAGGTAGCAACTATTCTCTTTTCAAACTCATTCTGAAGTTTGTCACGTTTTGGACACAGAGCATCAAGTTCATCAATGAATATAATTGATGGAGCGTTGCGCTCGGCATCAAGAAAAATATTTCGTAACTTTGCTTCACTTTCACCATAATACCTGTCACGAAAAAAAGACGTACAACTGTATAAATACTAGACCACAAAAATGTGTGTTGCGATTTAATAGCGGGACTTTCTCTACAGACCGTTGCAATTAATTAATTCTTCAGACTTCAGTTGTGTTACATTCTGTCATATTTATGCATGGTCCTTTTTAGAATATCGGTAGTATTGGTAATAGAGTACCTGTCCAATACTCTTTGCTGTACACAACATTTTTGCCCAACTTACCGACTGAGAATGTCTGGCCCGTTAATCGTAATACAGTGTACACCCGACTCGCTCATGACCGTCCTTGCTAGAAGTGATTTCCCTGTACCTGATTGACCAAAGAGCAGGGCACCACGTGGAGGAGTTAAGCCTACAAATATGTGGACAGTATGATGCACAAATCTTATCAGACCTTACTTCAACAGTGTATATTAAAATTAGTTGGCAAAATGAAACAAGATATGTAGCTACTTTTAATACTTTCACTATACTAGACTCACCATACGATTGAAACACGTGAGGCGACTTGATTGATAACTCTACCATTTCTTTTAACGTTCGTATTTGCTTATCAAGTCCTCCTACCGAGTCATACGTCAGTTTCTCTTTAATAACTCGTTCAGGCTTGTCCTTCCCGTCCGCTGATTGGGTAATAATGACTTTAGTAGCTGCAGCGGTGATGTAATATGCCACTGTTTCAGATGGACAATAAGAACAAGATATGTCGTAGGAATTGTTCGATGATTCTTGATTTGCCTTAACAGGCGTTGATGTTAACATGACATCAGAACAATTCTGATTATCAGCGGTATCTTGACGGATAGACTCATCACAACTAAAACTGTAGTAGGTAGACATACTGTCATCGTCAATATTTGAAACTTCAGTTTTGTTGCTCACAAATGAATAACTCGTGTCACAAGAATTATCGATACATTTTGAAATATTTCCGTTGCTATTGCTTATATTTAGAGTTGCCAAATCCTTAGCAAGAAATTCATCAAGATTCTCAATTGATTGTTCATATGTCCCAAGATCCCCTTCAACCGAAGTCACATAAAACTGCTTCATTTGGCCATAATGTGGAATATCAATTACTTCACCAGGATAAACAAACGCGTTTTCTAGAAAAGTAAAGATCGGTTCCCTAATTTCTTTAATAACGTAATACAAAACACGAAAAACACACAAAAACAGACTAACCTAAATAGAACGAAGAGTATTGCAAAAATTGTGGCGATATCTCAAATTCTGATGGGTCACTACAAAAAGCAAAAATCATTGTGAATAATGTCGATTGATGACGAAATTTTCGATTAAATTGTATGGTTGAATATTTGATGAAATAGGGCGTCCATCGTTCTACAATTTTGTGCACATTCAACTCCAATAAAAATAGTTAAAATTACCAAGAAGCAAGTAGAAGTTTATTTGCATGGAATGATATACCAAGCATACCATGAAGAACCACCATATCATCGTCTGTCACCTGAAGTATAAACGATCAAAAAAACTCATTTGCCAGTGGAAAACCCGATAAGGTGTTCATCAGGGTATTCATGTAATAAAGGTGTCACTTGTGTTATTTGGTCATTAAACTTTATTCATAAAATGCATTCGGCGACTGTTCTTCGGGATAACCTTCAAAGTTCACCAAGAGAGTCTTGCCGCATTTTGCGAAATTTTACGTTTTTGCGTCAGTTTCCGGGTTAAACCGTTTCTAGCGTCATTTAATGTCATTTTGGTCTCAATCACCTTGAAATTGGTTGATACTGATTCGTGAATGCCAACGCCTAGATTATTGAAAACATAACTTTTAGCATTTGTACGTCGTTCTCAGTCCTTCACAATTAGGTAATTAATTCAATCAGTACTAATTCTGATCTATAGCTATGCCTATGAGGGGCAAGATTCGGTTTTAAGTATCAACGAGTTTAATTATCACCTAATCAGTAATATGCATAAAAAATTACACACTTACGGTCTAATTGTATTTGTGACGACGGCCATATTTTTCTGACAATCTAACATAAAAGAACAACAGTAAATTTTGCATTCAAAAAAACACTTTGCCTTTTTTTCATTCTTTGTATTAATCAACTTGAAAATCTCCTGTAAATCTCCTGTAAAAATTCACTATTTGCATTTAAGTTTTAGGAGGAACTTACATGTTTGTTGTTTAGATGTACAGAAACCAAAGACCCTAAATGTAAGCCCAGAGCTTTTATCGTAGATGTATTGAGTATGACAAAGTTTCGTCTTTCATTTAGTATTTTTTCATCTGGAACAGTAAAAAAATGGATTTTTGTGTTATTTGAGGTATTGCTCACTTTGCTGACAGCTAGTCCACATGAATATAAAACTATTTCACATGTAAACTAATACACTCATTTACTCTTCCTGAGAATTCCAGTTTGACCTACATATTCAAGATTCAGGTAAAGGTTTCTCCTTACCATACTGATTAAGCTACTTGATTAAGGACAAAGCTTAATGAACTGATCATGCATGGAGACATCAACTCTATCAGTGTCTCTTTTGTGCCTTCATCCTCAAAAGGGTCTGACCCTTTTTGACTCACAGATACTCCGTAGGAGTAAAACTTGTTTATGTGGTTATCTACTAGCCAACAATTAATCGGCTATCCATGCATTCGTGAGTTGTCTCATTGAGACCTTTGATTAATCCTCCCCAGGCCAATGTTTCAATCTGGACCCATTCAATGTGATATCAACATGACTAATGACATTGCATGCCCAGGGGCCACCTATATGGTAGGGCTCACTTAGAACCTAGGTGCCTCTGGTTGACACTGAGCAAATAGGTATTCAAATCTTAAGCCTGTGGACTGTTTTAAATAGGCTTTTATAGTCTTTCACTTCTGGTTCCTAGCAAGCAGTAATTAATCAACATACTTTTCATGGATGCTGTTTTCAATATTTTTCCATAGAGAAGCCCTTTACTTATAAAACCAGACTGGAACTTGCTAGACAATTCAGTATTTCCATATTTCTCTCCTGGAATACACATGTTTTCATGTTGATTAAATAATTTCCTGGGAAAGAATCTTTTACATTTGCTGCATTTGATCCAGTCATCCTGCTTTTTACCAGACATCTTTAGGAATGTGTAAGATGAAAGATGGAAGAAAATATGAACATAAATTCAGAATAATAAAAGTAAAACAATAGAAGAAGATAAAAAATTAAAATGTAAGTAGAAATGATCAATTTAAAATTTGAAATAAAAGAAAGGAAAAAAGAGGAAATAAGAAGGGAATAAATAGACGGAAAGAAATGGAATTTCCTTCGAAGAAAAACCGCTGCTGCATGGACTGCTGATGCGTCACTAGACAACTCCGGTTTAACCCGACCACAATCTTCGCAATCTTCTCGTACAATCTTCGCCATTCTTCGGTCACCTTGAGAATTACGCGCCATCTTTGTTCTCCAGTCAAAAGCAGTTGAAGGCACGTGAAGAAGTTCAGAAAAGACAAAAAAATGCCGTCAGAGGAAGATATTTCAAGTGAAAGCAGTGCTGAGTCAAGTGATGAACAGGTAAGGTACAGGCCTATGTTTCTAGTTGATAGAAAGTGTAGGAGGAAATTTTTTCGTTACAACGCGGATAGCAAATGGCGACATACAAAATGTACGCGATACGCGCCAAATATAAACAAGGATCAGTTTACTTTCCTAAACTTCAAATTTCATGAGAAGCATCGCCAAAACTGCTAAGAACATGATTTTTTTGCATAGTTTTGGTTTAAATAACGGTAGTTTCATGATATTCAGTGATATATTTTTAAACGGATAAAGGTTGGCTGAGGGGCTGATTACCTTGGGTCTTTAATATGTTAAACTTCAGCTCTGCGGTTGAGAATTCCTGTAAGTGAACGTCCATAAGAAAGTTGTTAACATGGCCAGGGAAACAAGAATTAAAGAATTATACATTTATACTGCTTGCTTTCTGCATTTTGGCACAATTATAACCTTACTCTTCCAATGCTATGTTTACTGCCTATAAAGTTTACCCAGAAGCAAATAAGTAAACCAAGCTTATTGAATTTTTTCACAATTTAGTCAGTGGAGAAGAATGACGAAGCATATGAGGAGAAGAAACCGGGTACATCAAAAACTGGCAGAAAAGCACAGATAGCACCAGAAGCATCAAAAGGTTATGAGGAAAAAATTGTAAGTCTTCAAAATGTACAGCAACATGCATCCAGGGTTTAATGGGCAGATCATCTGCATGTGGTGTGAGCTGACTCAACTTGGTGATTTTTCTGATGTATGAATTGATTTTGAAAATTTAGGAAAAAGATCGTGCGACAAGGTTCAACTTTCTTCTAGCCAAGACGGAGATTTTTTCTCATTTTATGAATCCCACAAGTGGAAAAAAACCAAAAAGTCCTTTAAAGATGAAAGCACCAGATTTTCCATCTCCTGGCAAAAAGACATCTGATGCTGGAGAGTGAGTCAATTATTGAACATCTAGCATCATTTGATATTATTACATAAGTCTATGTAGTCTGCTAATGCCCTCTAAAGGCCAGTCGGTTACTAGCCTCCAGACCAGGTAGTTACCAGCTCCCTGACCAGGCGTTACTAGCAACCTAATCAGGTAGTTACTAGCCCCCTGACTAGGCAGTCTCTAGACCCCTGATCAGGTAGTTATTAGCCCCCTGATCAGATAGTTGCTTGCTTCCTTACCAGGAATTACTAGCACCCTAATCAGGTAGTTACTAGCCCCCTGACAAGACATTAACAGCACCCTAATGAGGTAGTTACTAGCCCCTTGATGAAGGGCTAGTAGCTACCTAATCAAGCAGCTAGTCATCAAGGAAACTGGCTGACCATTGTTCAAACATGTTGTAGTCATCGCCACCGTCATACTGAACAAGAAGAGGATGCTGAATTACTGGAGCAATCTAAGCATCAAAAAGCCATTGTCCACTTTGAACAATCACCTTCATGTAAGTAATATATTCATTCTTATGGTGGGAACAGACAACCATGGCATGCAGTGCCGAGGGAGGTATATGTCCCTATTAGTTTACAGCTTAGTATATCAGCTACGCAAAAACTGTCTTCTCCGAGTTTATTGTTTCTTCATTATCTATGGTTTTTTGCTTGTTGATGCTTTCATATAAATTTGCAACATTTTCAGTTATTAAGAATGGTGAGATGAGAGATTATCAGATCCGTGGCTTAAATTGGATGATATCATTGTTTGAAAATGGCATTAATGGAATTCTTGCTGATGAAATGGTACTAAAATAAAATTAACATGATATGTTTTGCTATATATGGTTTGCTATAGTTCTAAATGAAATAAACCATGATTTCATTAGGAATGATCATCATCCTTTTTCATTGATAATTCCTCCGACCCTGCATAGCAAAATAGGTATTGTTTTGCCAAACACCTCCCACTAATAAATTATTTCATTTGCTATAGGGTTTGGGAAAGACTCTTCAGACCATTCTTTGCTTGGATACTTGAAAGTATTTCGTGATGCTGCAGGTCCCCATTTGGTTATCGTCCCAAAGTCAACATTGGCCAATTGGATGTCAGAATCAAGCGATGGTGTCCAGCAATTAATGCAGTCTGTCTCATTGGATCACGTGATGAAAGGGTAAGAAATCTTACTACCCTGGTTCCCCCAAAAGAAATTGATTTAATTCTACAGGAGGGCAGAGTTTGGTAGCCTTATCAAGTCCAGTTGTGAACCTGATATATTGTGTAAGTCCAATAACACAATATTAGGAGACAGAGACGAAGCGTATCTATATCCTGCCCCTGGCTTTAGGATCGAGGGTGTTTTTTAACCAGTTAAAAGCTTATCGTGCATGTTGATGTTTGTTTCAGGTTTGCGTTCATCAGAGATGTTATGTTACCTGGGGAGTGGGTATATGTGTGACCTCAATATGAGATGTGTATCAGAGAGAAAAGTGTTTTTAAGAAATTCTCCGGAGATATGTGGTCATTGATGAGGCCACAGAATAAAAAATGAGAAATCAAAGGTGCTGTAGAGAATCAGTTATTTGTATACCGGTACTCTATGCTTGCGGTGACTGACTATGTTGTAATCTATAATTCATAATTTAACTTCCCAGACTTTTGTAAACAAATTGTTTTAACAAAACAAACTTCTATGTTTATTAGTTATCTGAGATGGTGAGAGAAATCAGATCACAGAATAGATTATTATTGACTGGAACGCCATTACAGAACAATCTTCATGAACTTTGGGCATTGTTAAACTTTTTACTTCCGGATGTATTCAGTTCAGCAGAGGTATAGGATACTAACTTGTGTTGTTCTCCTCATTACTTGTGGGTTGTTTAATTCTTATTTTTTTCTGTATCAGTACCTTTGTTTTGTCACTTGCGTTATTCGTATTTTAATAACATTGTTTTCAAACACAATCATCTTATTAGGATTTCGATGCGTGGTTCAATTCCAATAATCTTGTTGAAGAGAGCAACTGTTGACAGACTTCATTCGGTGCGTAAGAGTTTAAAAACATTCTTTCATTGAAATTCCATCCAGTTGCCTAGATACTTTGTAACATTCTGCCTTTTATATGAAAAATATTAAATGCTTTGTAGAAATATTAACTGATATTTAAAAGGTAAATGTTTAGGTGAAAGGATGTTATAACTAGTTGCGTACACCAACTGATTAAGGATAAACGTTTAGGTTCTGAGACCGTTCTTGTTACGACGTCTTAAAGCTGATGTGGAGAAAGGACTTCTGCCAAAGAAAGAGACGAAGATTTACGTTGGACTCACGAAAATGCAGAGATCTTGGTGAGACATCATTGTTGTTGCCCTACTTGTGCATTAGGGTCTAGTTTTTCCATTTTCCGGTTCATGGCTAATACACCATCAGGCCGCATAGTGTTTATATTATTGACCTGGGGCCGGTTGTGCATGCCAAAGTTGTAGATGGCGCTACCCACCGGATAATGTTTTTCAAACGCTCCAAAATTGCTCGTTGTCTGAAAAAACCTAAATTAAATCTTATAGTATTCTTACATTAGGGGTTCTCTTTCATAACTGTTGTAGCTCCAAATCTGTGATTTCATTGCTTTTCAAACATGCTTAAAACGGTGAGAAAATTCACTCCAATCATTACGTGTATATCTGCTTTGGGTTTCCAGGTATACGAATATCTTAATGAAAGACATTGACATCGTGAACGGTGCTGGAAAGACTGACAAGATGCGGTTACTGAATATTTTGATGCAGCTAAGAAAATGTTGTAATCATCCGTATCTCTTTGATGGTGCAGAACCAGGTATTGCGTTACGTGAATGAAAAACAACTTCGACAACAAAGTTTGCATAAATCCTTCATATATATACGCCTTATAAACTAAGTATTCATTACGCCTGCTGCCTCAACAAAACGTATGATTTCATGCATTAGCTTTAACAATACGAGAACCGTTCCTAGTAGTAGCTATGTAGTAGCTATTTACGTAGGAAAAAAATGCTCTTAAATCTATAAAAATAGTCGCCATTATGATCAGGATTGAAGACGTTCCCCCAAAGTGGCCATTGCCAGTAATTTCCAGTTGAAAAATTATTTTTACTAAATTACTTTAACAAGTCCAGCAAAAGCTATTCATAATTTAAAGAAACTTTTGTGTTGATTTATTTAGGCATTTAAACGGATATTTTCGTGCAAAATTATAAAATGTATGCTTGGTTTCCAGGATTGCGTATTATAACTTTCAGTCGCTCAGAAAGTGTAATTTCAGTTCATGCAGCTGATTGTATTAATATTGTAATTTGTAGGTCCACCATACACTACAGATCAGCATTTAGTGGACAACTCTGGTAAACTTCGTGTTCTTGATAAACTGTTGCCTAAACTGCAAGAGCAAGGCTCCCGTGTGCTGATATTTAGCCAAATGACCAGAGTATTGGACATTTTAGAAGATTATTGTTTGTGGAAACAATATCACTACTGCCGTCTGGATGGTCAAACACCACACGAGGAAAGACAAGAGTCCATAAATGATTACAATATGCCTAATAGTGAGAAGTTTATTTTTATGTTAAGTACCCGAGCTGGTGGACTGGGTATTAATCTAGCGACAGCTGATATTGTTATACTGTTCGATAGTGATTGGAATCCACAAGTTGACCTGCAAGCTATGGTACGTGCTGTATGTAATACTAGTGGTCAGAAATACCTTTTT